ACTGGAGGAGGCAGGGCCAGGGCACGTGATGAGGCAGCATTTCGTGTTTTAATTAGATTTGAAAAGCTCAAGTTTGTGTTAACCCAGATATGTGTTTAAGAAGCTGTCTGACTTCTGTCTTTGTTTTAATCTGCATACTTAATTGACCTCCCTCCCCTTCCTAATATCTGTGAAGCCACATGTTCTTTACCTTTCTCCAGCAGGGCTCTAATAATTATTTAGAAAGGAATCTTTCAACACCTAAAAGATGGCCAAGAAAATTAATTCCTTCTCATAGACTAGTTCTAGGAAAGACTGTGTGGAGGTTAGGGCTCCAAGTGAATCTTTAGGAAGGAATACTCAGACTGCCACCAGAGGTCTCTGTAGCCTCATGGAGGATGGCTACTAAACAGAACTGATGGGATGGAGGGATGGAAACTTGGTCTTTCCACTGATCTGGTAAACTCCCAAATTAATAAAGGAGTAATAGTAATGGAAAGAAACCGTGTTTTCTTCTCCAGGGGAGGTATCATGAGGACCTCACAAGCTGTTCCCTCAATTTCCTGTCTGTGTGCCTCAGTATTTATTATTTTTCTTAAAAGCAAAAGGGTGGAGGGAGAGTTCTCAGGAAAACAGACCTTTATAGACTAGACTTCACTGTAAAGGAAAAAGACTGGGAACTTGCATTTTAGAACAAAGGGAGTGGCAACAAAATCATTTCATTGATCATGTCTGTATTCATAAAATGCTTCTTGGCTGCAGGCATAAACTGAGTATAATTTGCCATAAATGTCAGCACTTCCTCTCGGTCACTGCTGCACCCCCAGCTGTCCAAGCATTGCTTTGTTGAAGGTTCTGTCTACAAGTGATAATTTGCCTTACTTTTGCAGGACTCACATTTAGAAAGCTTGAAAATTATGTGAACTCAATGGAGGGTCAGGTGGTGGTGACAACTTTTTCAGATTAGAAAAAATTAGAACTGGTGATAGGGTTAGGCATGGGGTGGTGAATGATATCTTCTAACCTCTGCATGTAGGGGAGGATGGAAACCAGAAACTGCAACACTTGGAAAGGAGTCTTCCAGCTTAGTTAAAAACTGACCAGTCAAGTCAGTGAGGGAAAAATCTATCACAGAAAAGTAATGTGGTTTAGTAATTGAAATACCACTGGCCTTGGAGTCAGAAGATGAAGATTCAAATCCTGCTTCTGATACTTAACTAGGTGACTATAGTCAAGTTGCTTCAGTTCTGGGAACCTCAGTTTACTAATTTGTAAAATGGAGGCATTAGAAGTAACCAGAGTCCCAGAGCACAGAAGTTAAAGCATGTAACCAGCCTCCTTCCAGGGAGATGATGCAGAATGAGGTGTAGAATAAGACTTACATTTTTGGACATGGCCAATGTGGGAATTTGTTTTGCTGAACTATACATATCTGTAATACGGGCTGTTTTTCTTTTTATAGTTCATTTATGGGGATTGGGGAAGTGGAATGGAGAGATAATTAAAACTTGTAAAAAGTAAAGTAAAATGAAACCTTGGATTAAATGACCTTCAAGGTCCCCTTCCAGCTCAACATTGTGATTGAGTTGTTTGCCTAAATTTAGTCCGGACCTTTGACATGCTCTGTTATGGGTACTGTGTTTTGGGAAGATAACTCTCTTTATACTTGTATAGTGTGACATAAAAAATGAGGGACTTGACTGATAACAGACCTAAAAAGGAGGTTCCATTCTTATTTTTCTTCTCCCTCTGGTAGAGTTCATGACATACTTTGTGACTTCATGGATGGTTGCAAAAAGAGACCTTTTAAAAGACCTTTGTGGGCTGGCTCTTATATTCATTCTCTAGTGATGACTTGTGTGTTTAATTGGCTCATTTGGTATGGATCTACCATTTTCTAAAAGACATTTTCCCAAGCATTCTATACGAACCTCTAATGTCTTATTGGAGGCCCCTTCCATGCACTAAAATTCAGTGATTCTATGAATAATAAATGAGTACCTGATGAATGGATGGATAGCTATCTGAAAGGAAACATTACATTTTATTCAGAGAAAATAAGTACCATCTATGTAAGGACAACAGAGTGAGTCCATGCTAACATCATTATTGCCAATAGCAAACATTTATTGAAAAACTACTTTGTACAGGGTACTGTGTTACATGCTCAGCTTGCAAAGAGATATGTCATCTCTTCCTTCAATATTGAATTAATTTTATTCTTATTAATCATCTAATTGGAGAGTTAGGACTTATTATTGTTGTTGACCTTCCATTCATTCTTAAAGACCTAACTCAAAGGTCACCTCCTTCATGAAGCCTTTCCCAATACTTCTGGGTGAAAAGAATGTCTCTCTCCTCTGATCTCATGGGACTCTAGCTAGGTGTCACAGTGGATACAATGTTGGGCCTGGAGTCAGGAAGACCTGAGTTCAAATCTGGCCTCAGACACTTACTATCTGGGGGACCTTGGGCAAGTCTCTTAATCTTGTTTGCCTCAGTTTCCTCATTTGTAAAATGGAAATGACAAATCACTCCAGCATCTTTGTCAAGAAAACTCCAAATGGGGTCACAAAGAGTTAGACATGAGTGAAAAAAAGCATTATATTTATCTATGGATATCTCAATCTCCCACTAGATTATAAGCTCCATGAAGGCATGGGCTGTATCTTAGTTATTTTATACCTGCCTCAGTACCTAGAATATATCACTATAGTGAGCACTTAATGTTTGTTGAATGAATGAAGAGAAAAAGAATATATCTATAAAAAGTTAAAAAGAGAAGGTGATATATGGTAAGTGCCAGATGGGTAGAAGAAATATGGACCTAGAATAAGAAGACCTGGGTTATAGTCCTGCCTCTGACTGCCTCTGTAGCTTTCAGTAAATGGTTTCATTTCTCTGGGATTTAGTTTCCTCATCTGTGAGATTAGACATTCGGACTACATCATCTCTAAGCATTCCGAGATCCTTTGTGCCGGGCTGTAGATGTCATTGTTGCTGTTGAAATTGTTTGTCCTTTTTTGAAGAGGACCAATGACATCATTCCGGCAAAGGCTTGACTCCTTGATGAATTGGATTTAAGTGAGCTAGTGCTAGGCAAAGAGAACTCAAAAGAGGGACAGATCCCTGGGGCAGAGGGAGTCAGGGAAGAACACAAAGGAGGTGGGCGCAAACTGGACCTTGAAGAATGGCTAGGACGTGGGGCATTTTAGGTAGGTGGAACAATATCGACAAAGAGCAAGATGTAAGAATGCGTGTGATGTCTTTTGGGAGAGGATGAATAGATCAGTTAGATAGTTCATCTACAGGGGAAGTGGAAGAAAAGATATTGTGGAGGGCCTGGAAAGTCACGTCGAGGACATTGTACTTCTAGTCTATTGGCAAGGAGAAACTATTGAAAGCGTCTGGTCAGGGAGTGATGTGTGCAGGGTGATCACCTTAGGAAGAATAGAATCTATTTAAGATACGCTCACGAAAGACAATGACTCCACCTATAGGTGGAGTAGGCTGCCACCTAGTGATGGAACCTAGTGATTTCCCTCCTTGCATATAACAGCCTATCACTAATGCCTGAAATTCTACCATTAGAGATTCATTCTTTTGGGGATGAATATGCAATAGGATTGTCCCTTGTTAAAATGAGAATACCCTTAAAAGGGGTAACAACCAGTCATTTACACCTTTATGTAAATTTAGTTGCGAGCATCTTTCTGACACCTGGCTGAGCTAGATTTGACAGAGCTAAGAAGTTGTAAGGTGGGGAACAGGGAAGAACCTGAGGACTGGGAGTGAAAGCAGTTCCTCAGGGAAAAGTAGGGAAGATAAGGAAATAATGAAAGCAATTAACTTCTTTATAAATTTGTCTGATAGTAAAATCCAGTGTACAGTGGCATCCTTCAACCTAATATTTAAGTTTTGGTACTTGGAAAAAAAAAGACTTGAGGTTATGCGTCTCTTTTTTGTGTCCCCTAGAAGCCTGCACATAGACATTTTGGACTGACTGAATTATGAGTATATATATTGTGGTTTTTGTTCATTCATTTTTAGTTGTGTCTGACTCTTCATGATATCTATGTAGTATATAGCATGCAATGTGGTTTAGTGTGAATAATGTACTGGACACACAGTCTGGAGACCTGGGTTTGAATGTGGCCTCAGACTAGCTGTGTGATCATGGTTAAAGCATCAGTTTCAAATGGGATTAATAAGACTGTTCTACTTAACCTTGCAGAGTAATTGTAAGAGAGATGCTTTGCATACCTTCATAAGCTATAGAAAGGTGAGCTATTATTATATTAACCTTAGCCAAGAAGCCCCTACATTGAAGAGTCCTCCAGAAAGGGAAGGGGGCCTATCTCTGATGAGCTTTTCATTTTTTTTTAAATAATGGATCCAGGGCCCTTTATGATACTTTTGCTGATGAGCCCAGATTTTCAATTCACACCAGTGTAAGGAGTAGCAATAAGAAATCAAGAACCTGGAAAAGTCTTTTATTTTACAATCAAATTGGCAGTTTTTTCGTCATCTTGGATTTGTGCACTGTTGTGGTAAATCAAGAAATTATGTGTCATGCATTATGGCCCATTGAATGTCAGCAACCCAGCAAATTTGTCCAGGCCTTAGCAGCTTTCTTGTTCCAAATTAGATATTTTATTAAGTGTATGTAATGGCTTTTTTCCTTCTTAGATCCAATGTTTTCTTTAAAAACAGGATTACTACTGCTTCTCTGAACAGTTTATACATGCAGCTTTGGTGTTTGTGTTCAGGGTTTCTGGCTCTTGGTCTGTAAAATGCATGGCTATTATATGGTAGTAGATAAAGCATTGATTTTGGGGTCTGAAACCATGGCCAGGGTTCCAGTCCTGGCTGAAGCACGGGCCAGATGTCTAACCTTGTGCAAATCACTTCCCTCCTATAAGCCTCGGTTTCCTCATTTATTAAATGAGGGGGGTGGACTAAATGAATCCTAAGGTCACGTCCAGCTCTGAAAGTCAATAAGTCTATGATTCTTTTTACAGATTAACGAACAAAATGGAGAACTGACTAAGATGCTGGGTATGAACCTAAGCCTTAGTGATCAGACAGAGATAAATGACTCATTAGAGGCCTGTCCTTCCGAAAAATGTTCTCTAAAGATCATAAATGCTACCTGCCAGCATGTTGGGACTTACAGATGTACTTTGTGGGCACTGGGAGAAGAAAACAGCCCAAGTGACACAGTTGAACTGAAAGTGGCAGGTATGTGATTTATTGCAAATTGTTTTATTTTCCATAATCAACACATATTGCAAAGCCACTGCATGCACAACCTTCTACTAGGTACTAGAAATAGTAGCTGAATCCAAGAAAAGACATGGTTATGGTCCAAGGTTAAGGTATTAAGAAATTTTCCCTTCATAAAATATATTGACTTTAGTTTGATTAAGGACAGAAAATATTTTATAAAGGAAATATTTGGAGATGATTTTCCTACCTTAAAGTGAGCTCATCAAATCATTTGGTTAGAGGTAGAAAGGACTTCTGTGATCATCTAATCTAACTCCTAAAGTCCCTTCCAGCTTTAAATCTATATTCTTATGTGCCCAAGGTCCCATGTGTACTAAGTAACAGGATTTGAACTCTTTTCATCTGACTTGGTGTTCTTCCCATTACACGCCATTGCTTTATTGGGTATGACTATGGCAACTCCCCAGCTTTATTTCATGGGATATCCTGAACCAAGCTCTTCATTCTCCCAACAATGTCATTAATTTTTTTTAAACCAAAACTGGTATTTCATTGATATTGGCAGCTTCTGGTGAGGAAATTCCTTTACCAATACAAAAAAAGCACCTCTTCGGATATATAATCTTTAAGAGTTGCCTAGAGCAGTGAGGTCACACAACCAAAATGTATCCGAAGTGGGAATTTCACTTCACTAATTGAATTAAATTCAGATTATTATAGTTTACCGGTTAGTGTGAGGATGATTCAATCAGAGTGGATGTAGAATAAAAATACCCAATGTGGGAAAAAAAAAAGGAAACACTGGTCTGGGAGTTAAGGCATTTTCTAGTCCCAGTTCTGCCCCTTGTTGGCCTTATTAATTATGTGTCTTGCCAGCTTCATAAATCATTCTAATCAAGTTAATGTGTTCCTGGGCCAATTTATTCTGCCATCTCTAACCTACAAAGGGAATAGTATCTTTTACCTAGTTCCCTTCCCTCAACACCCAGCCCAGGATTTTAGCTGAGAGCTCTAGAAACAAGTTTCCACTTAGAAAGCTTTCTTATTGATAGCAAGCTCTTACTTAGTGCTTTAATTGTGTGGTAGCTGGGAGCACAGTGAATAGAGCAGGGGGCCTAGAGTTAGGAGGATGTGAGTTCAAATCTGGCCCCAGACACTCTGGGCAAATCACTTAATCCTTTTTGCCTCAGTTTCCTCATCTGTAACATGAGCTGGAGAAGGAAATGGCAAATCACTACAATATCTCTGATAAGAAAACCACAACTGGGGTCATGAAGAGTTGGACATGACTGAATAACAACAATGCTTTAACTACTCCTTCCTCATTTAACTGTCCAATTAAGCCACTAAGCAACTGTCAGGTCATCAGGTTCCTTCCCAATGGGATGAGTGAATATAACAGAATGTTAAAGCTGGAAGGGACTTAGAGGTCATTTAGTCTAACCATGATACTGAGAACCTAGAGATGTCTAATTATTTGCCTACAGTTCCATAGCTAGAAATGGCAGACCTGGAATTTGAACAAAAGGCACAACATTACAAGGGCAGAAACAGTACATCCTCTCAAAGATTATAAGTAGCATACAGGATTTGAACCCAGGTTTTGTAGTGCTTTTTAAAACACACCACCCTGCTTCCCCGATGGCTATTCATCTCTTCTTTACTTCTACATATGATACCCAAAGATCATGGTGCTGATGTTGTAAAGGAAGAAACAGACATGGCAGAGAAGTAGATTTTTTTTTGGATTGGGAACAATGTACTTGAAATAGTAATAGCCCTCTTATTGGATGTAAAAACAAAATCCTGAATAGATGATTTGTGCTTTTCATTGTAAGGTTGTACCATGGAATCTGAGGGTGACAAGTTTAAGAAACACCAAACTGAAGTTTTCTTGCTGTTGTTTCTTGCGATGTTTTATGTATTTCTCATCGTTTTTACCTGTGTAAGTATCTACTTTAAGAAGTTCAATTCCTTTCAGCAAACATTTATTAAGTGCTGGCGGTGGTCAAGTCACTGTGCAAAGGACTGAGAATAGAAACATCTATTATTTTTTTAAGAAAAATTAAAAAAAAAACAACAGGGAGGTTGGGAGGTATTCATCTAATTCTGGCTTAACAGCATGGGCAAAAAAGTTGTTAGGGGGAGTGTTAAAATAAACGTGTGTGTGTGTGTGTGTGTGTGTGTGTGTGTATGTGCGCGTGCACACGCACGCATCTGTGTTTCTGTCCCTGGACCTGTGATTGCACTAGTGTATAGAACTCCAAATGTGAAAGCCCCTTTCACCAATGAAGAAAGAAGATTCACCCCTAACATCCTTAGTGAATTGCCTGAGGCACTGAGGGATTAAGTATTTACCCATGACCACCCAGCCAGTACCCATCAAAGGCAGGACCTGAACCCAGGTCTTCCTAACACCAAAGCTGGCCCTCTACACCACACACTGTGCTGCATCTCTGTTCTCTAATCAGCACTAGAAATGGCATGTTTCTGTTTTCACCCTAAATACAGTACACTTTGAAGTACATGGAGCTTGAAAATAATTTCAGGAAACTTAGCTCAGGCATTATTGTGATGATAAAATGAAATCATGTATTTGAATATGCTTTGAAACAAAGCCAAAGATTATTGGACAAATTTGAAATAGTTTGTAATTATATTAGTAATTACTAATCATTAGTAATTACAGTCACAGACCTCTAGGAAAGTCCATCTTATTCAAAGGACCACACATTTGTTGCATGCCTACTATGTTCCAGCCATTGTTGGGGAGAAAAAGCAGCATGTGAGACAGAGTCAGTCTTTATGAAACCCCAGAAGCCTGAAGTCTAGCAGGGGGAAACAATGCATAAACACACAAAAAGATAAATCCTTCTACAAGAAAGGCAGCACATGAGAAGAGAGCAATGTCTTTGCTATTTTGCATGTGGCACACATGTGTGTATTCCCTTCTATAACTGTTATTCAGAAAATGAATTTTAAGAGGGATGTAATCTAAAGAAACTCATGATACCAGTTTGGAAGAGGTTCACCACTTCCAGGACAAAGTCCAAAAGGAAGACAGTAGTGGGGAGGAGAAGGAACTAAGTCTTAATGAGCTTTATATAACTTGAGGGATTATGAAAGAGCTGTTTTGCTGCTCCCTGAAGACCACAGGTGTGAACTCACTGGTTTGGCATTTTGGGGATAATAAAAACTGCTTCTGGCAGGTCTTAGGTCACTCAGCACTAAAAGGCTTGAGCTTTAAGATGATGAAACAATCCCCCTACTGGCCACGATCATTGACTCTTCCTGCTTGGTGGCCAGTAAGTGGCTTTGTCATTCTGGAAGTGCCCAACAGCTGAGCTAGCACACATGGTCCTCTGGAAGAAGGCAGGAAAGGCCTGCATAACCCCTTCATCCCCAGTCACATATTAGCCACAGACTCAGCAAATGTTTGTTGAAACTATAATTGAATACATTAGTCTTTTCTTTTTGGGCCACTTGGTGAGCTTTCTTCCTAGGAAGCAGTTATCTATCCACCATCATGAATTAACATTTTAATTCTATTGCTAATTAGACTATTTTCATTTCTTATTTCTATTATTCTTTTTATTTATCCTCTCTTCTTTTTTTTTTAAAAGAAATTTGCCAGACTACAGAACATATTTCCAGATACCAACAAACAAGGCATAGAACGAATTTTTCTCCATGTCACCTTCCAAAATAAGAAAAGTGTTCAACAGATGGGTCCAACAACAGGTCAGAAGATAGACTTGGTCTGAGCTTTCCTTCCATGGGCTGTTGTTAGAACACCAAGAATTCTCAACCTTTCATGGTTCTTTGGTCAACCAAAAGAACAAAGACACTCCTGTGAAGGGGACAGCATCGCTCACCATTCTTGAGATGACTGAGAATGGGTCCACAGTACCCATCTTGAACATACCTTAGGATGGACCAACCCATTGTTCATATACTTTTGAGCTTCTGATACAGAGCTTTGGAAATATGGAAGCATCATCTCTTAGGATGATCCCTACTACCAACATCTCCTTAAGGATCTCCATTAAGCTGTGTACTCTGCTCATTGGCCAACCATGTGAAAACTTCTCCTTTTGGAGAAGATGAGTATTGACCTAAGGACTTCTTATGGCACCTACTCAGTGAGACATTATTGAAAAGCGCTTTTATGAAAAGTGAATGTATGAGACTTGCTCTTGCTTGGAATTCAGAGACTTGATTCCCTGAGGGCAGACAGCTATCTGCCCATATCTCAGAGGGACATCTTGAAAGCTGCTTGAATTTTGTTACACTGATACAGATGTTTCCTCTATTGGAGAAGACTGACAAGTCTCGCTAAGATGTGGTGGCAACAGCTAGTAAATAACTCTCTGGCTTGGGGGCCCCACCATTATGTGTATTATGTGTACATTGAAATAACAGGTCAATGAGCCAATTTTTGGTAATGCCTTTTCATCAGAGAAAGGCATTTTCAAGGAAACTGTGAAGAAAGATGCCATGTTGGAAGAACACACGCCCTATAGGGAATACACACAGACAGACACACACACACAGAGACACAGAGACACACAGCCCTTGGTAGTTAACGTAAGGGAATTTTCAGGCTGGAATTACAAATCTCCTATGGAGCCTGTGCCAATTACTATGTCTCATGCCAAAACTTGGCTGTCTTTGCTGTTTTACCTGAGGTCAGGAAGAAATTCTTCAGAGCTAAAAGCACTACCTATGCTAATATACAAGTGTGATAAGAATGCCAAGTTGGAGCAGTTTTACTTCCTAGTTGCCTGATGTAACATTTATGTTATTAAGTGTGAGAGCTCTGGGTCAGAAGGCTCTCCTGAAAAGAATTGGGGAGAAGAGAAAGAAAGAGGGAGGGGAGATGGAGAGAGAGGAGGGAGAGAGAGAGAGAGAGAGAAATGGAAAATGGCTCAGTGCCGTACATGTTACTTAACACATTTGTATTATCTTTATACTTGTATCCTACCCTCTTCCCCCGTGCCTTCCCCCCTCCCGGTTTGTCTTTGTATCCCTAGTACTTAGCACAGTGCCTGGAACATAGTAGGATTTTAATAAAATTTATTTTAATTGAATGGAATAAATGATGTTTTTCAAAGGAAAATGCTGACTCTTAAGGGTGGAAGTCCTTTGGCTGTCAGAAGACAAGCAAACAGAATTATGGACACAGCAGAAACCAAGAGCTTGACTGTCACTGTTATGTGATGTAGGGGACTTAGGGAAGGGGATCCCCTTCTTTTCCTTGCACTGACAGAAACCTGAGGCTTTAATTAGTTTCAATTTTCTGGGATTTCAGACTCAACATATTTTTGTTTTTAAGAAAAATGCTTCCCCCCACCCTTTTCCATTTTTAGGTATGAGAAACACTTCTTTTTTTTTTTTAAATTTTTTTAATTTTTAGGCAATTGGGGTTAAGTGACTTGCCCAAGGTCACACAGCTAGTAAGTGTCAAGATTTTGGTCTGAGGCCAGATTTGAACTCAGGTTCTCCTGACTTCAGGGCTGGTGCTCTATCCACTGAGCCACCTAGCTGCTCCTGAGAAACACTTCTTCCAAAAAAATAAACAAGCAAGCAAACAAACTGAACAACCCTACAGAACCGTCAAACATTATTTATTTATTTTTTAATCACTAAAACCTTGGACACAAGACTGAACAAACTGAACGGTTGGACACAAGACTGAACAAACTGAACGGATTGGGTGTTTTGTTTTGTTTTGGGGCTGCTTGTGTAGAGCCTTTCAGGTATTTCACAGGACGAACATCATGGATTCACAATTATCATGTTTCATTCGTCCAGGAAAAGCAATGTTTTTGTGGTCCTTCTTTGGCTATTAATTGACCTACGGAGCTTAATCTATGGCTACTCTGGAATATTTGTTGGGGGAGGGGATGCAGTCATAGATACAGTAACATTAGCTCCACAGCCTTTTAAAGAGTGCCCCCCCCCACTTGATTTGATAGTATCCACACCAGGTGAGTTCCATACTATAAGAAATAAAACTAAGGCTGCTCACCTCTTAGGTGCTGGGGTGAGAGGAGAAGCCAATAGTCTTGTGTTTGCATGGAGAAAATGAAGTGGAGACCTGAGCCCCATTAATTCAGTCAAAACAGAAAAGCTTACCAGGGTCATTTAAGCTGGAGCACCTACTTTTTCTTTTTCTTTTTTTTTTTTAAATAGAGCTTTTTTTTTTCTTTTTGGTGGCTAAATCTTCTGGATAAGTGCCCTCTCTCTGACCTGTGTAGAAATGATCCGAGGCTAAGGTTATTACAATAGCAATTGCTTTGTTAAAATCAACAATAATGTCCTCTGGTTAAAAATAATACACTGATTGGTTGTAAAGAGAGACCTGTTCTAATAGTTGATGAGACGACTCATTTTAATCAGTGGTTAGGATTGAATGTTTTATTAGGTTTATTTTGTGTTCCAAAGAGGAACAGTTTGTTTTTTTCACCACCTTTTTGCCCTCCTTAGTATATTTAGTATATTAGTATATTTAAGTATATTTTAAACATAAGCAATTAAAACATAAAACAATTAAAAGTTTTGCCACCTATTTCTTTGTTCTCAATAGTTTGGTTTCCTCACTAGAAATCTTAGAACCCAAAGTGATTCACATTCTTTTTACTTAACAACCCTTTTTTTTTTTCACAGAATTAAATGTATGACTCCCTTTCCTTCCCACTGTCAATGAGGCAGGTCTTAAATCATGACAGACTGATGAGGACAGAACCTTTTTGAAAAAAGAGTTTACGGAGAAGGAAATCTTATAATCACTTTCAGAAGCCTTTTCCCATGTTTAACAAGCCTCACTCTTCTATAGGGAAATTTCCCCTTATGGTTAATAATAATGACTTACATTTATAAAGCACTTTCAGGCTTACAAAATGATTTTGTGAATTATCCATGATACAATTTTGTCTTTTCATCTTTGACACCAGGTGTCAATCTGCCCTCACTCTTCTCCAGACCAAATAATTTCATTGCTCTCTCCTCATTAAATATTTGACAAATATTTGTTTAGCAGCTTACTATGTACAGGGGTACTTTTCTAGATGTTGAGGGGGATTCAAAGGTTAATTAATAAGAGGCAATTTCTGCCTGGCAAAGAATGTAGACTAATAGGGGAGTTAAGGTGTATTTAAAATAACTGTAATACAGATTGGGACTGTACCTGTGAATTTATTGATACAAGGGACTTCTGTTTGAGGAAACCGTCTGTACTAATGCAGGTTGGCACCTTTTCTTCATCTTAAGAATCTTAGATAACTGCTGGGTTGGGAGAAGTGACTTGCCCACTGTTACAGAGCTAGTACATGACAAGGTCAATTTTCTTTACTATCATACAGCCTTTCTGTAATTCATTTACGCATTTAACTTTTTCTATTTTGTATTATAATTTATAATCATATCATATACAAATAACTCTACTACAAAATAGAAAAATACTAAATAAATACATGAGATACAAAGTTCTTTTTGAGGTTTGAGGAAGAAAAGATTATTTTTTAACCAGGGTAGGGGAGATGAAGGAAGGCTTCATGGAGGAGGTAGCTTTGAAGACTGGCTAAGAATTAAACAGACGGAAATAGGTGAATGAAGTCATCCCAGCCTTTGATGAGAGAAATCTCAGATGAGGGAAAGGAACATATTCAACAGACTTCAGTTGCCCACTTTAACTGGAGTGCAGAGTGCATGGTAGGGTAGTGTTGCTCGGTATTAGGCTGGCTTGACAGATTGTAGTGAGACCGTAAGCCAGGTTAAGGAGTTTGGACTTCTTTCAGTGAGCAATGGGGTACATTTGCATAGGGCAATAATGTGATCAGAACTGTGCCTTAGGAAGATTAATGTGACAGCAGCACACAGCAGGATTAGAGTGGGAAGAACCCCAGCGAGAAAAGGGAAGCCCATCCATGGTCACAGAACTCAGCACCCACAATAAATGAAAGAACATTGGAATGTGCTGTAATAGCTAATTTGGCTTGGTTTACAACTTACATGCAATCAGATTGTTGGTATTGACATATAACTGGACTAGAACTTTTATGCTTTTTTTGTACCTGATTAAAATCGCAACAATTGCTTCTCAGTACTTTTTATTTCTTATAAAGTTACATCTCATACCTGTTGTTCGACTGACAGCCCCTACTTCCAAAGCAGTTTGGAGAAACAAATATGTGTTGAGAGCAGTATAAGTAGGTTGTGAGAGGATAATGCTGAATAAGAATGAGCATATATCTTAAAAAAGAAGAAAATGATCCCATGTCATATTATTATCATTAAGGGAAGCAAGGTGGTGCAGTGGATAGAGTGCTAGGCCTGGAATCAGAATACTCATCCTCTTGAGTTCAAATCTGGCCTCAGATGCTTATGAGCTGTTTGACCCTGGGCAAGTCACTTAACCCGGTTTGCCTCAGTTTCCTCATCTGTAAAATGAGCTGGAGAAGGAAATGGCAAACCACTCCAGTATCTTTACAAAGAAAATCCCAAATGGGGTCGTGGAGAGTTGGACATGAATGAAAAACGATTGAATGGAACAGCAACATGTTACTATTACCTTGAGTCGGATAAAATCACACACAGGCCTGATCTGTTTTGAAACTACAGGGTGTTGTTTCACAAGCAGCTGAGTCTTTTTCCCCCCTTTCCCATTTCTTTGTTTCATCTTCCCCAGGGGATTCCAAGCAGCATATAGTCAGGTAACAAAGGACTACCATGAAGAATGCCATCTAGGTGGGGTATATTTGTCTCCATGATTCCCAGGGAAATTAGGGTGAAGGAGGGAGGCAAAACTTGGGGACTGAAAACAAATCTATTACTCTTCCCCTCCACTTTGTGCACAAATATGTATCACATCCCTTTGTATAAAGGGGAATAGACCTCAACTAGTATTTCCTTCAGATTCTGCATGAGAAGAATATTGTTGCATTTTGCATCATTAGAAAGGGTTTCTTCCAACTGGGCTTTTTTCCTCTCTCTTTTGCAAAGTAGCCTGTTTGTAACTATCTACTCTCTTGTAGATTGAGGTATATAGCAGGGATAAGTTGGGAAGGAATTCAGACATAGATGTGCCTGGAAGGACCCCACAGAGTTAGAATGCTTTTTAAAAAATCCGTAAATGTGTGTGTGTGTGTGTGTGTGTGTGTGTGTGTGTGTGTGTGTGTGTGTGTGTGTTTGTTTCCCTGTGCACCTGAAAGGCCTGGTTGGACAGCCCATAAAAGGTTCCTATCCAGAAACAACAAAAGCTGAAGTCAGAAGTCAGGGGACACAAGGCTGAGAGCTAATAATAATTTTGCACTTACACAGCAGTTTTCATCAGAGGACCTTGGAGTGCTTTATAAACACTAATTAAATTGTCCAACATCCCTGTGAGATTGTTCTGTATTACTCTTTCCAATTTACACTGGGTGGGGAGTAAGATAAATTTATGCATGGGGTGAAGCTGGAACTGGGCCATCCTACAGTGAAAGTTGTTTTGTGGACTCAGAGAAGGCAACAGGACTCAGGGTGTCAAACTTCTTTTCTACATGTGCACAAAGCCATTGCTTTTCTCCATCCTGGCACTATGCAGACTTTACCACAGAGTATGTTGAGAGCTCTCCAGTCCCTCCCCTCCCCCCAACCCCACTTCCATCCCCATCTAGGGCTGATCTTATGTGTAGGCAGAATAAGCAGGTGTCTAGATGCTACAGTTTGAGGGGTGCCAAGAAGTCCCTGTGTCCCCAAACATCTGTCCCTCAAGTCTGTCCAGGAGTCTGAAATTCATCATTAGGGTGCTTTCTTTTGGATCTCATGCCTCCCCTTTTTCAGGTGTTATTGCTTAAAATGCAAAACAACTATAGTAGTGATTTATATTTTAGTCTGAATTAGTGTATCCATTTGTAAAACCAAGCATTTTTTAATACTTCCTCTGAGCAAAAGGCACTGTGTTTACAAGTTAGCCTTCCTCCATGCTGAGAGGTAAGGACTGAATGACTGGGAGATTTGACTGGAGTTTATAATGAGTAGGAAGATAATTTTGAACAAGGGGCACTGACCAAGGAAGGTAGGCTTTGATATGGTGCCTAACAAGGAA